TATATATATAATTATTTATTTATTGTTGGAAGATAATGCGGGTGAGTGAAGCAGATCTGAAATAAGAGTGATGGAGTGGTGGGGCCGGCCGGCGAGTTCTTAATGGAAGAGATAGCGATGCTTTGGCGAGCTGTATGGCCGGCCCGAGAGAGTCCAATTATGACCGGATATTATTTAGGTGAAAAAATAATAATAATAATAATTACATCACAATCTCCACGTTTTCATGCAATAATACATCAAATAGCGACGTATATCTAAGAATTAAAACATCGCAAAAATATTATAAAATTTGAATTTGAAAGACAGTGCAATTTGTGAATATTATATTAAGTATTTATTTATTTTATTTATATCAAACTAAATTTAAGAATTTTAAATTTTAAAGCCATTAAAGCTTTGCTACCTTTTGAATATCATGATGGGCTTATCTCTTTTGTCGTTGCAGTTAGGCCCATGAATTCCATCTAATGTACTAGGGCAGCCCATATGTGGCTAGCTAACGGCCCATTTAGTTGATATTATAATTTTTGCTGGCTTAACAAAGTTAGGGGATCCGGATACTTCCCTAATAACAAGGGAATGTGATTAAGAGGAACTAGGGTAGAAGAGGATAAATTATTATGTGCAGATATCGAATATCATTCGGAGGTCAATCAGAACATGCCACATCACTTTTTGCTCGGTACCGGTGCTGGTACCGGATAAAATGGCACGTTCTGGTTGATCTTCGAACCATCCAGTGTCAGCACAAAATAATTTCCCATAGAAGAAAAGGTGAATAGTAGAGCTATAAATCCTTCAAGAGAATGATATATATATAATACATTAAAATATATATTTTACTTAATAAATTCATCATATTTATGCAATTTAAACATTATATAAATATAAAAATATACATGTCTATAAAAATTTTATAATATGTACATAATTCCTTTTTTATTTATGCTTCTTATAATATGTATATTAAAAATTTTTAAATAATCTTCAAGAGAAGGTTATTACAATGCATTTGGAATGCCTAAATGCATAATAATTTTTTTTTTAATTCTAAGATTTTATTTGAAACAACTTTATTATCAGCACAAAAAAATTTTAAACTAAAAATTTTTATATTTAAAAAATAGTTTAGAAAGCAGCGAGATAGTTGTCTCAAACAAAGTCTAAGCCGGCTTTATTTGGGATGGCTTAAGCCACATTTAAACTAATTATAGAATTCTGTAAATTCTTATGTTTATTAAAAAATCAGAAGATTGCAGCTATAAAACTCTATGGTTCTGATTCTAAAAAATATTTTTTTTTTCCTAAACAGAAATTTGAAAAATAATAACAAACATATAATCAAACAAAAATATGACAAAAGCAACTGTGAAGAAATCGCCTGAAAAAGACAACTTGATCATATAATTTGATAATAATTATGCTGAGAGGAGGGAAGGAATTGAAATGTCTCAGCAGGATTCAAATGGAATTGAAATTCATCAGAGTCTGAGCAGTTCATCATTCCTTTTCCAGACCACTAAGTCCTCCCAGCTGACTAAGTAAGATGGCCATATCCATTCCCTGAGTCATTGTAGGGATGGCTAAATCATAGGGACAAAGCTTTGAGAATCCAACCTTCCCAGATTTCTTTACTTTCTTCATGCATTTATTGAGCTTCTCATGACACTTCACATTAGTCATCCCTGAAAAATCAAGAAGAGGTTGATAAAATTTATCAAAGACCAGAACAATCAAATTACTTTCAAAAAATATTTTTGTTATGCACATAACTTGTTCAGCTTCCTTAAACACCATAAGATGCATGAAAATGGTGATTTGAGAGGCATTGTGCTGAAGAGGAATTTTGGGATAGAGATGGCAGTGACCAGAAATGTCAATAAATGATCTAACGCGACAACCCAACATAGATCTGAATCGAAAAATTTGTGTTATGTTTGACACACAATATATAGATCCAATTAGGGTCTAAAATGTTGGTATATTTAATATTCTAGTTGGGTTCAGATTGACCTAAAATCCTAAAAAATAATCGACTTGATTTTGGGCTTAAAATGAATCCTCTCTTTGAGTAGTCAATAGGCCTCTTTAATGGAGAATATTTGGGTAAATTGGGTTGTGAGGACGCAAAAAAAAAGTTATATGAATCATATAATAAACAGATCAGATGCAAGGTTTGGGTTCAATCAAGTGTGTGTCGAGTCGGACTCAGGTCATATTTTGACTCGTATAATAGATGGGTCACTTTGTGCCGAGCAATTCCTAATTGGGTCAAATTTGGATCTAATCCAAAACCTACACATTAATCCAAATCAACACTCCTAGATATAGATCATGATAGCAACCAATCATGAAAAAAATAGAGGGTACTCCAATAAACTTTAGAAGAGAAGAAAGGAGGAAGACGTTACCCAAAAACAATTAAGAGTATGAGAACATGTGGCAATAATCAATTGAGGGGGAGGAGGATGGGGAGGAGAAGCCAATCACTCAAGAGGAATGGAGAGCAATCATAATTTAACTCATCTTTCATCAAACATCACCTTATTACAAGCATTAGCACCTTCATAAAAAGCCCACAAATTCCACATAAATGAAATAAAGCATAATGCAACATGAACATGGAAAATTAAAAATTGTTATTCCCTGTAAATATATCTGATTGGATAAGGATTGACTTAAATCAATATTTATGCCAAAGCCACCCCAAAGATCTTACTCTGGATTATCCTTAAAAGGTTTACTAGAGCTACTGATGAGGACATCGGAGATCAACGGCTACGATTTTTTAGTTATTTATTTATATGTTTTTGTACTAGTTTATTTTATATTGTTGCTTTTTTCTTTATACCCTTATGGGTGGTCATGTAGTATTGTAGCCTGAAGGGCATTTTAGTCTTTTATTTCTTTTCTCTTCTTGAGCCTATTTATAGGCTAGTTGTTTTGTATTATGGGATGATGATTATTGATAATGAAAAGTTTCATGTTTTGTTGATCTCTTAGTGAGTTCACGTTATCTCTTAGTGAGTTCATGAGAGGAGAAGCCCGAGGAGGGTAATTCGCAATCCCCGCCAATCTTTGGAAGAGTCCGAGGTTCACGGTTCTTACGATCTCTGTGTGAGTTCGTTTGTTATTTCTATCTTTCTCGTATTTTTCTTGTTCTTCTCTTTTCTCCCCTTTTCATCCACAAAGTATCCCCCTAGCTCCATTGCCGCCGCCCCTTGGAGTCCACCCGCCGGCCACCCTCACGGCTCCGGCCGGCCACTTTGCCGGCAACCTCCCCAACCGTCCACTTCTCCCTCCCGCATGCTCCAAATTTGAAATTTGAATTTCGAATTTCGAATTCTTTCCTAATTTGGAAATCCAATTTAGGAAAGTTTTATTTGATAAATTCCAATTTCAAATTAAATTAAGTTGGAGTTCTCATAACTTACCTCCACGTCATCACCCACCTTGTTCTTCAAATTTCGAAAATTCAAATTTGAATGAGCTCCAAAATTTCCATAATTGCCAAAGTCCAAATAAGGAAAGAATTGGATTGAATCCAATTCAAATTTCATGGTATGAGGAGTTACTAATTCTCATCCTAGGTGGCATCCTTCTAATCAGAAATTGATTTGTTCACACTAATATCCCTCCTCTCCTCTCTACATGCCGCCGGCCTCATCAAGGGGGAAACCCATTTAATGCTAGTTTAATGCCATCAATGCCTTGATCCAAAAATTCAAATTTCAAAATAACCCCCTTAATTTCATTCATAATCTGAAATTAATTTCAGATTATGAAATGAAACTCTCATTCCCCTCTCTTGAAACCGCCGGCCTCCCCCAATTGAGCTCTCCATTAATTCCCCCATTCAAGGCATTAATGCCTATGACTTGAAATTCAAAATTCAAGTCTTTTCCCTCCCAATTTAATCAAAACTGAAATTAAATGTCAGTTTTTGATTAATCTTCCCCAACCTTTTAATTCCTTCCCAAATCCACTACTCCTAAGTAAGGAATTAATTCAAACGCTTCCCCTCCTTGCTGGCCGAAATTCCCCACTGCTGTTAGTTGATTTTTCCTTCCCAAATCCCTTCCAAAACTCCCGGAAAACTGCTGCCCAACATCTCAATTTGCTGTTTGGAAATTCCTGCAGCAGCCCACCGACGTCCAGCCATCCCGGGAGCGATAATTGCTGTCCAGATCTCAGGGACAGCCCTTCTTCCTGTCTAGAAGTTTCCCTGAGCACAATAGGTTGCTATCTTGTTGACCACAGCAAACTAGGGTGCTGTCCAGCCGTCCAGAACCAGTCCTAGCTGCTGTCCTGAGGAGATCTAGTGTCGTCCAGCTGCCCGAAGAGACACCCATTGCTGCTGAGTGGTTCCAGAAGTTTGAAGGCTGCTGCCCCTTCATTCCCGCCATCGTCATAGCTTCATAACTCCTTTGTTTTGGGTAAACTCTTCACTCACTCTCTATCTTCTGAGTTTACTCTACTCGTGGTTATAATTTGATTCACAAAGAGCATGTTTTATCGCCTCCGCTAAACCTAGTATTTGAATGAGTTATGAGAGGCCCTCCATAATACTAACTTATTGTTAGCATTGAAATTTCTCGTTGAAACCACTAATGTATGCAAAGTAAGACTTAGTTGACTATTTAATGATCTCAACCTCTTGCATGTGTTTAACCTAAGCTAAGTACCACTTAATATTTATCTTATCGTTCAATTCAGCATAAGATCTTACTTATTATTGACTCTAGATCTAAGCGTGCAAATTTCATTAAGAAAATCATTTTCGCATGAATTTTGTCTCAAATCAGCTACAATTTGAGTGAATTGGGTTATTACACATTTAGTTCAAACATTGAATGAAGCTCTTTCCAATGAAATTTGATCTCTTTCTATGCAGATAATAATAGTAATATTGATGATAAAATGAAAAATATTCGATCAATTCATAAGAAATGATTTCTAGAAAATAATATCCAAATCAAACAAACATTCTGAGATTAACACTAAATGGTTTTTTTAAAAAGAAGCATGTTGCTGGCTAGAATATTCACGACGGTAAAGTAGGAAAATCTTTCGTCTTAACTTTGCAAGGATACCCAGCAGACAGACAAAGAAATTAGAAACACCAAGATTTTTATGTGGAAAACTTTAGAGAAGGGGAAAAACCACGTGGCCACGCCAAGTTGAAATGATACCACTAATATTTGAATGGATTACAAAGATCATCCCTAAACTTAAGGATGATCAGATTACAAAAGTCCAGGAAGTGGGTTGAAATTTGTGTGGACGATGACGGTCGAACATAGGTCCGATGGTGGTAGATTGGAAGTTTGACGTTTGTCGATCAAAAGTTTAGCGAAGTCAATGGACGGGTGGAAGTCCAGCAACGATCAATGGCTGAGCGGAAGTCCAACGGTGATTGTTGGCTGGGCAGTGTTTGAGGAGGAGAAATTGGTGACAAGAGAGTTCCAAATTTCTCTTCCTCTCTTCACTTTTTTTTCTTTTGTTTTCCTCCCTCCTTCAATGAACAATGAGAAGTCTATTTATAGTTTTCAAGGAGTTGCAGGGCCAGTGAATAAAAAGAAGATCAAGAGCATGTTGGGAGTGTTTCGAATGGACGGCCGATATCGACTCCCTTGATCATGGTCCGTTTATCAAATATTCAAGTGTCTTAATGATGTCAGAATTCGACGATTTTGGGCTTGTTGGATTTGTTTCGTCGAGCGTCTCGATTCGACTATAAGCATGTCACATTTAGATATCATTTAGTCATCCAATTTATGATTTGAACCTTTTAAATATGTTTAAGACCCTTGATTTGGACCAATTTGGGCTCGGATTGGATCAAATTTGGTGTTGTTGGGTTCGTCTTTTTGAGACGTTCAGTTTAACTATAAGTTACGTGAAATTGGAGTTCGGATGACCCCATGTTTAATTTCAGAAGTTTCCAATTTGAATTTGCCACGAGATTCATGCTCGATCAAGATAAGTTTTTTGATGATATATCAAACCTTAACAACTACAACATGATTGTTATAAATAAAGCTGATGAGGACATCAGAAGATCAACGGCTACGACCTCAAGTTTATTTTATTTTTGATGTGTCTTATGTACAAGTTTATTTTATATTTCTGTTTTTTCCATTTCACCTCTAGAGGTGGTCATGTGGTGTTGTAGCCCGAAGGGCGTTTTAGTATTTGTTTCTTTTCTTTTCATGAGGCCTATTTATAGGCTAGCTCTCTTGTTTTTTAGAGGAGGGATGATTATTGAAATGAAATTCAGTTTTTGTCATTATCTCTTTGTGAGTTCTAGAGAGTGGTGGTGAAGCCTAGGAGAGGCTAACAGAGTACCCAACAGCTCACTGGCGAGTGAACTCTTGGTTTTGTCTTCTCTTTATTCTTTTCGTTCTTTCTTTTCCTCTCTTTTTCTTCCCCAAATAGCCGACCACATCCCCTCTCTCTATAGAAAACGGCAGCCCCCTTCCCATTTTCCCCTTTCCAAACCGCCACTCCTCCCCATTCTGTCGGCCACCTTTCCAGCCCAACCCAGCCGTCGGACCACTGGTGGTTTTCCCCCACCCGTCGCCTCCTCCAAATCCCCAACCCACCGGCCTCCCTTGCTCCCTTTGGGTCCCTTCAACTAGCCTTCATTAGTTTCCTATTTGGGATTAATACTAAGTTTGAAAGG